GAGCTTACTGCAGGTGGGCATAAGTGTTGCAGTGAGGTTTCACCTGTCAAGGTGGTGAACCAATCGTGTTGGCCACAGTTTTCAGTAGGATCAGTGGATCCCAGCTATGTTCTGTCATGTACATGCAGACACTAAGGTATGGATACCTTCCCTTGAGGATAGGACCCAGGAAAAAGCAGGGAAGTGGTATCCTGGGTGGCCAAATGCTATAACTTAATCACTGGCCTGACAAGGGCTGCCTGTAACGGGCAGGACATGGCAGTGACCTCCCTTTGTCAGTGCTGTATAGAGTTGTGATTGAAAACCGAGTTGTGTTGTACTATCACTTTACTTGTTTGAACTTTAATATGTGTAGCAAATATCCATCTGTTTGAAAATTGTGTGGGTTTGAAGTATTTATCTCCCACAAGTCAATTTTGAACATTTTTGTGGTTATCACATGTAATATACAGTGTGATCGAGAAATGTTCGCTAGATACTGGCAAGTCCTTACTGTCACTGTTATTAGGGATGGGAATCACTTGACATTTTCCTCTTTTGACCCTATGTATTGTAAGTGACGGGTTTTGGTTTTTGCTGTTGTAGCATTGAGGTGAATTGTATGCCATTGTTTGTGCAGTTGGTAAATTCCAGCTCACTTTCCTTCTCACTTTTAAGTAAGGGGTTGTTTACATTCCCTAGTCTGATGTGAGACTTTGTTTGGCTTGTCACCATCTTTTTATAATGCTAGTTAAGGAAATGTCTTATTTCCCTATTCCATTTGTCCATTATTTAACCCTGTGTACTATTAGTGACAGGTGTTCCAGGAGTGCTCCAGTGCAAAGTGCAAAATTATGTTTTATCTGAACAGTTGATGAGTTCAGCTTGCTTCTTATTATTGAGCAAGATTTGCAATGTTCTCCTTGTATGAGAGACTGTCACACAGTACCGTTGGTTGAACATTTTTGGGGTGAGCGGGATTGTTTGCTAGTTTCTCCATCTCATTGTTTGTCATGTGTATTAAAGCACTTTTCATAAACCTGTATTTACTAGGATTATGGTGTCTTGGTTCAAGACACTGTTAACATTATATTTGCCCTAATGATTATCATTTGTGCTGGAATTTTTGTAATTTGTAATGTCTGGCTCTTCATTCTAACTATTTAGTTGGGTGTCAGCTTCAAATCTATCGATTGTTGTTCCCCAACCCTGGTTTTATACATAAAGTGTGTTCTACAACTCATAGTGAACGATGCAATGAAATATTTTAGTCGGCACTTTCACTAATGATGTTTTGCAGGTGTTATAAAATATCTTTTTGTAAACTTTGGCAATTGTTGGGCTTTCCAAAGTGTAACTTGCTTTGTATTTGCAGAATAA